TCTTCAACCGCTCCGTGTCGCGAGTATCAGCGAAAAATTTACATTGCTATCCAATAGTGATTTCTAGCGTTTTCATAATTTTTAATATGGCATAATAGCCTTTATTGAAAACACCAGCAGCTATAAAAGCGGCGATCTCAATAATCTTTATGCCAAAATTCAAGTGTTTCGGAACTGAGTACCTCCTCTTTTCCACCTGACCAACACCTCACTTTTCACTACTTGAAAATATACTTACACAAACATACACAAATTATACAGACATGCTGGGTCATAAATACCGGCTCATGTTTGGAGTCTATTCATACAACGGATTAAGCGGAGGAACGCGCCGCGCGCTCTGCGGTATATCTGCGTAGCGCGTAGCTGTAAAATCGGTAGCCTCGTTAATACCTCGAATTTCGATCTGTAACTTCAGGGACATATTTTTCAGATGTACTACTATTGATTTATACATAAAAAAATCGATTTTTTTACCTTTTACACCAGGCTCTCTCCTTAATTCTCTACAATTTTTGTTTCAGTACTTTTTGTTAAAAAACGCATGCTTTCCCTGATATTTGTAAAAATGTATAAAATAAGCGTGATTTCAGAGGTTTTTGGGCGCTAACCTTTTAAAGAAGCATTTTTCGACCCATGTTTATAGGAAACCTTTTGTTCAGAATTAAATTTCCTATAAAATCTCAAAGTCTGCCGGAATGTTTGGGCTCATCCTGTATATGAGCAATTTTATCTTATTCTTCCAAATTTTATTTTTTCTAAAACAAACAGTGTAAGAATTATTTTTCTTCTCATTTTTCAATTATTCTTATTATTTTTCCTGTACATACAGACGGAGATAGTATTAAAAAAAGAAAATATATAGATATATTTTATGTATAATTATTTCTTTTAATGTTTTTTATATTGACATTTTTACCACAGGAAACGTATCTAGAAATCTGTTATGAAACGTTTCAAACAAACATTTTTGAAACGTTTCTAAAACAAATATGTGCTATATAGGTTGTTACAAAGACATTTATTATACGATTCAACAAACAGCATAGTCGCGTTCAACAACCGCGATGTAACGTATAAATTTCAAAGGTACGGAAAGAAAATGGGAGTCTCGATGAAGGCTCGCTTTTCACAAAGAGAGTTATTGGGAGATGAAAAGTAATAGCGAAGCAAGAATGGAAGGGGACGACAAATCGAGCGCAATCTTCACGGTCGCGACGTTCGGACTCGCCGGTCTGATGCCAGAGCGAGGCGCTATTATAATTTCGTGTGCGGCTTGATCACCATCGTCAAAAGTCGAAGTGAGTTTGCCATCAGCTGAACGTTAAAACGATATATCAAACTGTTTGCGAAATATACGCAAAAAATCTCATTTGGTGTCCTCGCACGGTTTTCCTGTTTTTGTTTCTTTTTTACGTCCGGCGACGGCACGCGGCATATGTATTGCACTCCGTAAAACACATTGCCACTCTTATTATTCCAGTTCCGATTGTTTTCGTCAAAATCATGAAATGGTATGTATAAGAGGCATCTTTTAATTAACATAATCGAATGTGTGCTACGATTTCTTATTTTTATGTACGAATTTTATATGCTATCTTTTATGTTTGATTAAATTACTTTTGCTATTTAATTTTATGTATATAATTGTGTATTAAGTTTTATATATATTTTGTGTATACAACATTTTTTATATATAAATGTAATAATTAATTTACGCAAGAAATTGTGTATTATCATAATTGTTTGGAGAAGCATGTGAGTTATGCAATATATATATCTTCTGAAGCATATATTTTAAGTAGATAAATCATATGCTTTTGCCAGAACGTTAAAATTAATGGTTTTAAAATATTTCTAAAAATCATTTGTAGAATACTTAGATCTAATATTTTTCAAATAAAGGAAATGAAACCTATATTTCTCACAAGCTCTTCCAAATTGAAGAAAAGATTTAATAAAAATTTGTTTTAAGACAGAATTGTATGTGTGTGTGAATTGCTATTCCTAAAGATCAAAAGTTGCTTATTATAATTTCTCTTTCTGTTTAGTTGTCTTTTCTAGATAAAATCTAAATATAGCTGAATTAAAAGTCGCTTTTTGTATTCGCATGTTTTATTAAATTTGTAATTTTATCCTGGCAAAATTTTTTTACTCTCTATAATCTTCAATCATAGAGTTATCTATTTACAAGTTAAAATGTTTTAATGAAAGTGTTATTGATATATAAAACAATATAAATAATTAAGAAATTTATAACTTAATACGTGCTATATATAATGATATAATTACAACCATCTATTTTAGTGTCGAGGTCTCTACCTATACAATTTGTATCTCATCTCTAAGACTATATATTCTATTATTAAAGACATTTCAAATGTGTGTGTGTGATTATATATTGCATATCAAGCATGATATACTTTTTAAATGGCAATATTATTATGGCGATCAAAGATTCGATTTGTATCCCATATTTAGATACCATTTGCTAATTAAATAACGAATATGTCGTTGTCATTAGGTGTTTGTTAAAATAAAATTTAAGCGTATCATATATAATTTTATTATAAACGCGTCGCCTATAAATGTGAAATGTGAAGCTGCAAGGAATGGATTCACTCTTTAACGCAGCCCCGAACCAATCCTGTCGCATGCGCAATAATCTCCGCTAATGCCACGAAGGCGTATGCGAATTTGACGTTCCAGACATGCCTCTCCGATGACTTTGTCATCCACGTGACCGCAATGTTTGGCACGTAACACATCAAACATATATATATATATATATATATATATATATACATGTATAATGCAATATAATAAATGTTCTTATAAAATATTACACATACGCATGCATGCACAATTGCGAAAATATATACGTATATATATGTATATATATATATATATATGTAAAATTGCTATGTATATCTTCACGTAATCCAAATGATTAAACAATAACATCTATATTTATCGCTTGCTTATTTAGATTTAGCAATTATTAAAATATTCTATGTTCTATACGCGGAAATATTTGTAACGTTGGATTGTTAGTTCAAATAGAATAAGAATACAAAAATATAAGAAAAATGGAAAGAAGATGGAAAAGTTCTTTGGCGCAGAGAAAGATGCTACTCAGTGTATTATATACTGAGTGGGGTCGTTTAAAAATAGACGTTTAAACTTAAATTATGCCCTCTAGCAAAGGGAGTCGCGAGTGAACGGTCAAAATTTTGTAAGCGCTTTATGTCTCATCGATATAACCGAAGGATATCGTAACAAAAATCAAAAGTATCGAATTGCACTTCCTTTTTTTGTCAAATTATATGTAGCAAATAAAAATAATAAACAATCGGATCTTTAGCTAGAAATGATTATATATTTGGTGAACATGCAAATGAAATATTATACGTATATTTTTACGTATATTTTAGCTATCTTATTGCACAAAAATTTCTTTACTCTCTAAAAGTAACAAAATACAGAAGCATATGCTGTGTACAGTGCTCTTCATTGATTCATTTCAACTTACAAGTTCATAAGCGCCCAGGAAAAATATATAGTTCATATATAATCAAATATAAATATATACATGGTGTCCGGTAATTTTTGACATACCCGAAGTGTGAAGGTAGATTGGCTCAAACTGAGTCGAAAAATCCTGAACCATTTTTTTGATAACGCTTAATAAAGAAGTTATTATTGAGTAAAGTCTGGCCAATCAGCGTCGGCGCTGATTGGCCAGACTTTACTCAATAATAACTACTTTATTAAGCGTTATAAAAAAAATGGTACAGGACTTTTCTTTTCAGTTTGACCCAATCTACCTTCACACTTCGGGTGTGTCAAGAATTACCGGACACCCTGTATAATTATATACAAAATCCATATATGTTTTCTTTCTCTTATATAATCTCTGTGCGTATATACAGGAAAAAATAAGAATAATTGAAAAAGAGAGAATTAGAAGAAAAATGTTCGCATCGTTTATTTTTAGAAAAAGTTTTGAAGAAGTGAGAAGAAATGGCTCATGCGTAATCATATACAAATGTATATATGATTGTATATAATTTTCTAATTATTTTTCAATCATTCTTATTTTTTTATATAATTATATATATATTTATATTTAATTATACATATATAAACTTTTTTCCAAGCACTTCTAACAATAAGTTTGTTTAATACGATGCGTATAAATGATATCGCGCATTATGATTAACACTCTACTAGTGAACAATTAATTCAATTAAAAGATTAATAATTCATTGGAAATGTATTATAAACCTATGGAATATTATAATCATCGCACCCGTGACTCATACGAGATTGTGGGCGGGGAATATGAACAGAAAAATCTCTCACGAGAATCATACTCTTTTCCACGAACTATGAAAGGCGATATCGCATAATGTATTTACCTACCATGCGGAATTTTGACGCATGTACACATGCTCACGCGCGCGCGATACAATAAAGGAGCGTAAAAAAGATCTATATAGGAGATAATAACCAATAATAAACGCGAAGGAGGACGACCCGCTGACGCGTGAGCGTGGACGCGGAAAAAGCGAGAGGGAGACCTACCTACCTGGGCGAAAAAGGAGAGAGAGACACACACTGGCACGAGAGAAATGTCATCGATCGTTGCGCGCTGCGCGTCCTCTACCGTCGATTTCAGGCATTACGACTCATGTGCGGTGCAAAATCGAAAAATATGGCCGTCCCACTGGCATTTGACGAGAACTTTTACGGCGGCCGTGAATACCCGGCCCTAGCCGTGACGAGCGAGTGATTCAGCTGCAAAACAAGCTTCGAGATCTTCCGTCAAACAAACGGAAGGACGAAGAACGGAAGGTGGAAGGATGACGGCGACAGGATTGTGAAAGGAATTGTGCGCGAGAGCAATCCTGGCAAGAGTACGTCGGTGTAATATAAGCGGTGTCTCTAGCAGACGACATTGTTAGTAAAAAAAAAAAAAAATTGAACTATTATATTATATTTGGATCGGTGGAATCGAAGAGAGAGAGAGGGAGTGGATATACGCGCGACGCGGATGAAGTGCACATTATTGCAATAAACGTGCCGCCGCAGTGCGGAAATTAATTTTGTTGTAATAAAAGGGGGCAGTTTTTTTTTTACATCGTACAACTTGACCGTCGATCATCGTGAGTCGCCGATCGAGAACAGAAATGCGAAAGAAAAAATCGAGAGTCCATTCATACGTACGCGGGGACATACAATTAATTGTCGTGATGTTATTCGTTAATCATCGTTAATCGGCGAATCGCTTAATCGACGATTGAAGAGGGCAATCTAGTGAGCGATCGAAAGATCGCTAGATATAGAAGTTCGCTTTGGGAACTGAACAACAAGGGATCAGCAACACCTCTCGCTCGCACGCAATCATGGCTGCCTAGCACAGGGCGCGTATTGACCAATTTTATACGAAATGTCGCTAGAAAATTAAAAACTTGTCGTTCGAGATGTCTTTTGATAGCTCGCGGGGATCGCCGGATAGACATCGCGCAGATCCAACTTCTTTCGATGATTATCCGCATCATATATAGGGTGTTAAAAAAGTCACATCTTTTGACAGCAGGTAGTATTGATCAAAACAAGAGAAAAAAGTCTAATTAACATAGATCCTACAATTAATACCTTTGAAGATACAGGCTGTCTTTCTATTTGAGCTCTGTCCTTTTTTTATCGATTTTGTCACCTCTACAATGCAATAAACAAAGGAGTATTTACTAGTTTTGCTATAGTAACATTGGGTTTGTAGGTATGAGGTTTGTGTGTTTGAAAGAATACGTAATTCTCTGAGACGTAGAGGTGAAAAATGCATGACAATGAATGCAAACCACATAGAGCACTTCCTATAATGCTGATTGCAAAATTAGTAAGTACTTTTTTGTTTACTGCATAGAGGTGACACGACCAATAAGAAAGGAACAAGGCGCTCAAATAGAAAGATAGCCTGTATCTTCGAAGAAATTAGTTGTAGGACCCATGTTAATTAGACTTTTTCTTGTTTTGATCAATATTGCCTGCTCTCAAAATATGTAATCCTTTTTTTTAACAGTCTGTATGCATATATATATTTATAATCTGCTACTTTTGCATTTTCTAGGCCTACAAATTATTTAGAGGATTTATTGTTGAGGAATGTAGGCGACGAAAGCACGGATCAAAATAATAATATAACTATGACGAGCGAGGATTTATTACAGCCCGGCCATGTGGTCAAAGAACGTTGGAAAGTTGTGAGTTTACTTCCATTTTTAGATTAAAGACTCTTTAATCTTAATATCGTATTTTTTCAGCTTTGACAAGATAAATCGACAATATTTTATTTGGAAGGATAAATATTTTATAATAGATAAATATCTAGAGAAATATTTTTTATGTCAATATATACATAATTTTGTTGTGTTTAGTAGAAATGCAAACAAGCAAGACATATTAATAAACATATGTATCTTAAACATAGGTGAGAAAAATAGGTGGCGGTGGATTTGGCGAAATTTACGAAGGTCTTGATTTAATGACAAAGGAACAAGTAGCCCTTAAAGTTGAATCTGCGCGGCAGCCCAAACAAGTCTTAAAGATGGAAGTAGCTGTACTCAAGAAATTACAGGGTCAGTATGAAATTATTTTTGATTAATTTAGATTTTTATACAAAAATAAGATAAGTGTTTATTCTATTTTCTAAATTATTGCCTGAAACTATTCCAGGTAAAGATCACGTGTGTCGTTTTATCGGCTGTGGACGTAATGATCGATTTAATTATGTTGTGATGCAATTACAAGGAAAGAATTTAGCAGAATTGCGCAGGGCGCAACCAAGAGGTGCTTTTTCGCTTTCTACTACATTACGTCTTGGTCTTCAAATTTTGAAAGCTATAGAAAGCATTCATCAAGTGGGATTTCTGCATAGAGACATTAAACCTGTACGTGTTTACATATGCACACATGAAGATATATGATGTTTTAATTGGTATATTTAAACAGTGAAAAAACTATTGATTTTGTTCACTTCATAATCTCGTAAAAGGATAAAGTATTGTGTATTGTGCAAACATTACATCACAAGATTTATATAGTGTATTAGATGGCATGTATTTTCTGTGAGTTACATACCGAATGGTTATAACTTATTTGACATGTGATACATGTTCTTTAGTGTAATGGTTATAATTTGAAAAAAAAAATAGTAATACTTTGTTTACAGTCAAATTTTTCAATCGGCCGTCATCCTTACAACTCCAGGCTGGTATATATGTTAGATTTTGGTCTAGCTCGACAATTTACAACTGGCACAGGAGAGGTGCGTCCGCCTCGTGCTGCTGCAGGATTTAGAGGAACCGTCCGATATGCGTCAGTCAATGCGCATAAAAATAAAGAGATGGGTCGACATGATGATCTATGGTCATTATTTTATATGCTAGTCGAATTTGTTAATGGACAATTGCCATGGCGAAAAATAAAAGATAAAGAGCAAGTAAGTCCAAGAAATTTCTACATAATTACCAGATGCATAAACAGTTTTGTACATAATTAGAAATATCAATAAAGTGTAATATTTTTTTCTCTGTAGGTGGGTCTCATGAAAGAGAAGTACGATCATCGATTGCTTCTAAAACATCTTCCATCGGATTTACGAGTTTTTTTAGAACATATCCAGGTATATATAATTGATGAATATTCCATGTACACACACACATACACAATGTTACTTTAGAGTAATTAACTTTTTTTTTCATTTTTTGTCGAAAATCTTTGTGATTTTTATGATATATGACAAGTTTTATTTTTCTAATAAAATATTTATAAACTTTTATATAGAATTTGGAATATGCAGATAAACCAGACTATGGTATGTTAGCTGGTCTGTTTGAACGATGTATGAAACGTAGAGGTGTAAAGCCAAATGATCCTTATGATTGGGAAAGGCCATTAATAGCTAATGAAGGTTTATCAACTACTAGATCATTACCTACAGTAACTGTACCACCTGCGCTTACTACCGCTACTACTATCAATCAGCCTCCAATTACAAATGTGGACACAAACAACCAAGAGAACGTGGAGCCAGATAACAGGAAGGAGTTGGATGTAAAAAATATAAAAATCTTATATATTGTTAAGCTTATATTAGATTGGTGCAAAAAGTTTGTCGTATTTCTTCAGATAGAAAGCAAAGTTTTCGTTTCTATTTGAAAAAATGAGATGGTATTGTGTGTCGATATGAAACATATTTTATATTTACGTTATCTATATTTGTGTTATTTTCTATTTATGTGCTTTATTAATTTTGCAAAGTCTTACCATTTTCCAAAATGAAAATGACAAAACCACCATTGAAGAAAAATGATGGAGAAATCATCATTGTTGAAAAATATTGTTCGAAATTGTAGTTAAATTAGCCAAAATACAGCTCTATTTGTTTAACAGAAAAAGAGTGCCCCTCCTGCATGATAACGTTTGGCCATAAATAACTACAATGATCATCCATAAACTATAAAAACTTTAATTTCATTTATTGTATTCATTTATCGAATCTTTCATCCACTGACTAATATTTGTTTAAATATTTCGATCAGTCTTTGAAAAACAAAAAGTTCATAAAACTGAGTTATTGAAAACATTGACAAGGAATTCATAAATTCTAAAAACAAGAACGGTAACGGCGTTACAAATTTTGTTTGTAACGGAAAAAGTAACTTCGTTACATTTTTCGGTAACGAGTAACGAATTTAACAGTTACTTTTATCGTTACTTTTTTTTAATTTACTCGGTATAATTTTCATACAAAGGAAAATATTGAGTGTATGATAAGAGTGTTGGAATGCAGCATTACATGAAAACTACTGAAAACTCATTTTGGTATCTTGTTTCTTTGTAAGACAATGTTTAAAAATTTTCAATGTTTAATTTGATCTTGTATTAAAAAGAATTGTATGTAAAGTTATTGTTATATATAAAAAAAACTAACTGAAATTGTAACGACTCGTTATTTTTTGAGTACGGTAAATTTTTAAAATTGGGAACGAGTAACGGTAACGAGTTACTTTTTAGAAAAAAGAACGGTAACGGTAACGAGTTACTTTTATAAAGTAACTTTCCCAACCCTGGAATTTGTCAAATCTAATAACAATAAACAAAAACTTGTATCCTGATGAAAGTGTATATATATAGAAACCAATAGTGATTATTTCGATCAATAAAAATTAGTTTTAAAATTATAATTTTATCTTTTCTATAAAAAAATGTGATAAATACGACAAATTTTGCATCAATCTAATATATTTTAACCCAATATATTTCAAGTTTTGTTATAATGGCGCAGTTATTATACAGGATGTTTTATCAAAAGTGGCCACCCTCTTTTATCTTTTAAACTAAAAGAGATAGACCATAACAAATATACATGTATATCAAATGGAATGGTTTAAACTGAACTCTATTGTGAGCATAGTGGTTACTTCCAAAAGCTATCTGTGTTAACGAACGGGGAGATATGCATAATTTTTTTATAATGTGAATATTTTAACATGAAAAAAGTTGTAGTGCTGTTTGAAACGAATACAACGATGTATGATATGAATGTAAATATTTTACATATTACACGAGTTTTATCAACTTGAAATATCGCGGACGACTACCTTTTCATTTTCGGCCCTGCGATATGGCCAATTTTGGATTGAACATTATGATCAAATGACAAAAAAAATGTGATAAATACGACAAATTTTGCATCAATCTAATATATTTTAACCCAATATATTTCAAGTTTTGTTATAATGGCGCAGTTATTATACAGGATGTTTTATCAAAAGTGGCCACCCTCTTTTATCTTTTAAACTAAAAGAGATAGACCATAACAAATATACATGTATATCAAATGGAATGGTTTAAACTGAACTCTATTGTGAGCATAGTGGTTACTTCCAAAAGCTATCTGTGTTAACGAACGGGGAGATATGCATAATTTTTTTATAATGTGAATATTTTAACATGAAAAAAGTTGTAGTGCTGTTTGAAACGAATACAACGATGTATGATATGAATGTAAATATTTTACATATTACACGAGTTTTATCAACTTGAAATATCGCGGACGACTACCTTTTCATTTTCGGCCCTGCGATATGGCCAATTTTGGATTGAACATTATGATCAAATGACAACATGACATATGTCAATTTCTAATGCACGAGTCGGAAGTTGGCCATAACGCAGGGCAGAAAGGGGAAAGGTAGACGTCGCCTGCGATATTTCAAGTCAATAAAACTCGTATAATATGTAAAATATTTACATTATATCATACATAATTGTATTCGTTTCAAACAGTGCTACAACTTTTTTTTATGTCAAAATATTCACATTATTACAAAAAGATTATGCATATCTCTCCGTTCGTTAACACAGATAGCTTTTGGAAGTAACCACTATGCTCACAATAGAGTCTAGTTTAAACCATTTAATTTGATACATATTTGTTACGGTCTATCTCTTTTAGTTTAAAAGAAAAAAAAGAGTGGCCACCTTTGGTGGGACATCCTGTATGTATATATAAAATATTTGTAAAGATCTTTTAAATTCTAATCTTACACTGTTTGCTTTATATATACATACATACATACATATATACATGTGTGCGTGCGTGCACGCGCGCGCGTATGTGTGAGTCTTTTTTTTTAGTAGCACATATATACAGAGTGTCCAATAATAATCGTATTATCTCTCGTGTATAGGTAAAGCTGGTTAAACTGAGGAGAAAAGTCCTTTACCATTTTACGATTTTTGCAATAATTATTGAGAAATTAATTAAAAAAGATCGACCAATGAAAAAAGTTGTAGTGCTGTTTGAAACGAATACAACGATGTATGATATGAATGTAAATATTTTACATATTACACGAGTTTTATCAACTTGAAATATCGCGGACGACTACCTTTTCATTTTCGGCCCTGCGATATGGCCAATTTTGGATTGAACATTATGATCAAATGACAACATGACATATGTCAATTTCTAATGCACGAGTCGGAAGTTGGCCATAACGCAGGGCAGAAAGGGGAAAGGTAGACGTCGCCTGCGATATTTCAAGTCAATAAAACTCGTATAATATGTAAAATATTTACATTATATCATACATAATTGTATTCGTTTCAAACAGTGCTACAACTTTTTTTTATGTCAAAATATTCACATTATTACAAAAAGATTATGCATATCTCTCCGTTCGTTAACACAGATAGCTTTTGGAAGTAACCACTATGCTCACAATAGAGTCTAGTTTAAACCATTTAATTTGATACATATTTGTTACGGTCTATCTCTTTTAGTTTAAAAGAAAAAAAAGAGTGGCCACCTTTGGTGGGACATCCTGTATGTATATATAAAATATTTGTAAAGATCTTTTAAATTCTAATCTTACACTGTTTGCTTTATATATACATACATACATACATATATACATGTGTGCGTGCGTGCACGCGCGCGCGTATGTGTGAGTCTTTTTTTTTAGTAGCACATATATACAGAGTGTCCAATAATAATCGTATTATCTCTCGTGTATAGGTAAAGCTGGTTAAACTGAGGAGAAAAGTCCTTTACCATTTTACGATTTTTGCAATAATTATTGAGAAATTAATTAAAAAAGATCGACCAATTCGCGCGAATATAAGCGCGTAGTGAGAAGGCACAGCTCATTGATATGCGGTCGCTAGGACGCGAGAATCCAGCATTATGTACCGCTCGTATGTAACCATTGTCATTTGTAGAGCGTTCTTCCCAAAGCTTCGTAGCACACCCAGCGACCGCGTACCAGTGGACGATCTCTTTTCGCTGAGCACTTATACTTACGCGAATTGGCCGATCTTTTTTAATTAATTTCTCGATCATTATTGCGGAAATCGCAAAATAGCAAAGAATTTTTCTCCTCAGTTTCATCTGCTCTACCTGCACATGACGGTGATGCGAATGAATCCGGACAACCTGTGTATGTGTGTGTGTGTGTGTGTGTGTGTGTGCATGTGCGTGTGCGTGTGTGTGTGTGTGTGTATGTGTATATATATATATATATATATATATATATATATATATATATATACA